CATAGTGGGTTACAGCTCCATCTTGTACCCACCTCAGCTGCCTGGACCCAAGAAACAATGGTTTCTCTTTTTTCAATATTTCCCATTCATTTGTCAGCAAGGAAAAATTTTCTAGTCATGTTCAGTGTCCTTAATACCTTTTCATTCATTGTCTTAAACAGGATAATTCTTGCAAAGTCTAGAGACTAGAGAACTTACTTCTGATCAAAAAAGATTATGCAGAAGTTATTGGATACACAATAATGTATGCCCATTTTATCATTTGAGATAAACTACCCATTTAAAACACTTAGACTTTGTGGGCACTCACAATGAAATTAATCAAGCAGCACACTTAAAACAAGCAAAAGGAAATACACAATACAATCACCTTGGGCAACTCAGTTCCACAGAATGCTGTGGAGGTCAGAAGGATAGGTCCAGCAGGGGCCATTAAATACAGAAGTCAAGGCTGTACCTTCAGCTCAGGACATACTTCACCCTATAATTCCTGGTAACTGGAAGGATCTGACAGGACAGATGATTCAACATAGGCTAAACGTTTTGTATTGGGGGGTGTCCACATGAGATGCTTAACTTTTCATTAGCATAGTTTACTGCAAAGTAAGCATGTACATCAAAATGTGCACATGCTTACTTCACAGTAAACCTCCTTAATCTTGAGTAAATTTGCTACCTGCAAGTGCAAGTAGCTAATTTACTTGGGATTAGTAACGACACTGTAGTGTTCGTGTAGATGCCTGACTGGGAGCAAAATCTGCTCCCAGTCAGCTGTGCACCAGGGTGGTCAGAGATAGCTCCCCACCCTGGGGAGCTGCCTGCTGCTAGGGTGGGCTCTGCCACAGGACCCTGGGTGGGGACTATGTCCCCCTGCCCAGGCAGCAGGGAGCTCCAAGCCCCCTGCCCCCATATCACAAATGGGGAGTGGGGTCTGGGAGACTCTTATCTCCCAGCATCGGCTCCATGACTGTGGGGTCAGTGCTGAGAGACCCTTATTTCCCAGCCTGAACTCTGCAGTCATGGGGCTGGTGCTGGGAGATGCTTATCTCCCAGCCTGAGCTCTGTGGTCACAGGGCAGGGGCTGGGAGATAAAGGTCTCCCAGCCCCAGCCCTATGACTGCAGAGCTCAGACTAGGAGATAAGGATCTCTGAGTACCAGCCTGTAACAGGGGGCCTTCTTGGGGCCAATTTGCTTTTGGCCCATCCGCCTGTTTCTGGGCCAACTGCCTGCCTTCCTTGCTTGCCATACCTTGTTGTTATCTAATCAATGATCTTAATTAGGTGGGAGGCTGCCCATTTTCTTGCCCCAATGCTAGGGGCGCTATTTGTCCCTCCCCTACACTGCAGCCCATGCCTCACAAATGGCCTCCACAGATGCTAATTTCACCGGCCCCACGCTGGGTCCCAGAATCCTCCAATCAGGACCCCTCTAAGATCCCTCCATTCAGCCAGCCTATCCCACCCTCATTCAGGGATGCCTAGCTCCCTGAAACCCGGGACCTTTGGCCGTGCAGGCCCTTGCCTCGTCTCCAAGGCCAGTTGGAACCCCAGGCCCTCAGCTCTGGGTGTCCCTTGCAGTGGCCCCCTTGCCCTTTTGACTGTTCTGGTCCTGGCCCCAGCATTGACCAGTCGAGGGTACTCTCAGTCAGGCCTCTGAGCCTCTAGCCCCACTCTCGCTCCTGGGTCCTCCTTCTGGCCCTACTAGTGGGTGACCCACCCAGTTGTGGGAGCTGGGGTTATGGCACCCTGACCCACCTTTCACCGGGGTGGTAACTGGCCTGGCATTTCCTGGTGCCTCCCATGCCAGAGAACCCCACCAGGCCACCCACTCCCAGCAGGGTGCAGTTTTAGGGCATGCCCAGGACCAGGAGCCTCCTAGCCATCCCCTACAGCTCCTCCCTTACATCCAGGATGATACATGAAGCCTTGCAGCCAAGTGATGTTGCTGCCTGCCCTGCCAGCAAGGAACTGATCTGTTTATATAGGCAGTCAGAGATCTAAAATGGCTGCTGCAATCAAGCACCTACTGGCTGCTTGGCTCAGATCTTAAAGTGGCAGGCACAAACAGTGCCCTGTCTCACAGCCCCACAACCGTGGAGCTCAGGCTGGGAGAAAAGGCTCTCCCAGCCCAAGTCCTGCAACTGCAGAGCTCAGACTGGGAGATAAGAGTCTCCCAGTGTAGTAGGAAGCCCCTTTTCCTGCCTACCCCCACAGGGTAACAAGGAGCATCCCCTTCCATCAATAATTCCCCTCTTTGGATATGTCTCTTCTCTTCTATCTTTTCTTCCTTCCTCCTTTCTTCTTTCCCCTCTCTCACTACAAGATATAGAATTATTTGTGTATTTTTATTTCTGGTATAAGGAATCGTGTTTTATTAAATTACATGGGTGTTCTACATTTTGTAGCTGTGCATTTATATCCCCTCTTATTGTATTTTGATATTTGTATCTATTTGTGTGCCATGGCATTTATATTTGATACTCTTGTAATTTTATATTTTATGCTCTTTACCCTGTAACAATGCTATCAAGGGCAGGATCAAACCACCACCTCCCTGTATCAGGCTGGCCCCTGAATGAGAGGATCAGTAATTGAATGGGTAACACAGTAGCTAGCTACAGTAACAAGTTAACGAGTGGCAATTGACACCTACAAAACCACAGATTAATGAGAGGAAGAAATCAATAGGGGCCAGTGTAGCAGCTGGGGAACTCCCTGAACCTTCATTGTTAAAGAGACAGAAGCCCCAGTTTGAATTAATCAGAGCTGAAGACCAACTTTTGGGGAACATCCCACAAGGGTCAACAACCCCTGGATTGGGCAAGCCCAAAAACTGGGGAGTCACCAAAGTCTGCCAAGGACAGATAAAAGGCAGTGAAGAGTGACCCTCAATGGCACCCTCTTTATCTTCAACTTGACCAGCACCTGACCTGTTCAGCTAGAAGGACCCCCTTCTGGAAGACAAAAGCACGTTGGAAGACGCCTTGACTGGCCATTGATGGCAGACCCCAACGCTTGTGGGATAGGTATACTTGACTCTGGTGCTTCACAGATCAGAGATTCATAGCTAGCTAGTGTGTGTGTGTGTGTGTGTGTGTGTGTGTGTGTGTGTGTGTGTGTGTGTGTGTGCGCGCACACATGTTCATGAGTGTGTGCCTGAGGGGATTGGCCCCAAGGTTTATGATCTGATTTCATTGCAACATTTCAATCTGTCTAATAAACTAGAATTTTAAGGATCTTGAGTTGGACATTTGTGGCCAACACCGGCACCGGCCCACAGTCACAAAGCCAGCACTGGGAGCTCCCCGTTGGTGGGGCCAGAGGAACCTGTTCCCTGCCCAACTCCACAAGCACGGCATTTGTAGAGCCTGTGGAGCTGAGCAAATAGCAAGCCCTTCAGCCTGTTCCCTGCCTCAGCTCCGCACTCACAGAGCTGGGCAAGGAATAAGCCCCCCAGCCTGTTCCCCCTCAACTCTGGGCTCATGTAGCTGAGCAGGGAACAAGCTCCGCAGCCTCTGCCTAGTGTGCAGGGTTGGGGGCTTGGAAATGTCCTGGTCAATTCTGGCAAACTTATTAGTAGCTGGCAAATTTATATTCCTTTCTATACACCAGGAAGACCAAGTGAGGGACATGACTGGGAAACTGCATACTTGAGATTAAACTAAAGGTTTGATTTAAGAGTTATTTTACCAAACACAATTTTATCTGTGTTTATTCTAAGTATCTATCTCAGTATACAGTGAGAACTAAATGTTAAATGTATTTTTTTTCTTCCAGAAATTAGTATCTTCCCAATAAGTTATTAGTGATTACCTTTAATAAATAATAGCTGGAATAATATGAACATTATAGTACAGATTGTCAATATAATGTGTTTTTGTGGTTGCAAGAGCTAACAACAATATCCTTCCAAAAATAATGAAAAAGCACAAATGGAAAATATGATTCAAATCACTGTAATGTAAATCAATATACCTGTCTCACCAATAGCCTTTGAAAAATGACTTGTAGTGCTTATTTACAAGTATGTGAGTTTCCACCCATCAAACTAATGGCACACAACTGTGTGTGTGTGTGTGTGTGTGTGTGTGTGTGTGTGTGTGTGTGTGTGTGTGCGCGCGTGCACGCGCGCGTGTGAGAGTGAGCAAGTGTTTACAGAGCTCATGGGCGAGACTCTCTTATGCTGCTCAGAGCCACAGGAAATTAGAAAAAAACTTAAAACTGAGGTTAAAAGGCAGAGAAAAGTATGATCTGGCTCACATTGTGTTGTTGACTCTCAACTTGAGAGTTGTTTCTTTCAGGTATAGTTTGAAAAAAAACTACTGGGGGAACCTGAGCTGCTAATGTCTATGGATTATTATTAATAAATAACTTTAGTCATTCATAATATGGATCTGATCTCTTAAAACACCAGTAAATTCTCTTAAGTTTTTTTGTGTATGAGCATGTGCACCTCATGATATTGCATTACCCTAATTGTAACAAGATAGATTAAAAATATTCCTGAAATCAGAAAAAGAAAATTGGCAAATGTATGTACCATTACATCAAATGCAGGTGTGCATGTAATTACATACTCAACAGATGGCCATTAGTGGATCAGAGAAAGGTAAAGGGCAAAGTCAGTAAAATCTGAGTACCAGGTACTGGGTAATCGATTTGCACATAATCATTAAACACTTCTTTTCTTCATCTCTTAGCAATCCTATTTCTAAGGAAACCACAAGCTTATTACGTTACTCTCAATATGCTTTCCTTACTGTATATATTTTCCTTAAAGGAAGATTGTGGATTCCTATTTTGATAGGAACTTAGATACTGAAAAAAACTGTTATTGAAGAAGAGACCAAAAATGCTTGAGTGATTTGTTTGAAATTCAAATGAAAAATACCTGTTTTTAAACAGACTCGTCTACAATGTTTCGAACACACACACTGTAGCACTAAAAATGTGCAGGAAAGACAGATACTAATGGGCTTGTAAATAATTAGAATAAGCAGTGTGAACCAAAGTGAGGTTTTATTTTTTCCCTTTTTATAAAAATGCACAGATAAGGACTTTTGTTGAACAGAGGGCTAATTTTTCAGAATTGACTCTCAGTTTTTTTGCAGGGAGCATAAATTGAGACATTTCAATCATTAATTCATTCATCAATAATTGTTAAAAATTAGATGCCTTACAAATACCCGTCATGATGAGATACTTTTACCAAAGAAAGGCTCCTCACAACACAACCTGTTATGAAACAAAACACAACAATCTGCAACACGGAATATGACATTTGCCAAAAAGAATTAGCTACCAGATTATCTGATGTTGCTTCTACTGGGCTGATATCTGATCCATATTTATTCTGATGACAAACAACTTATTTGGAGGCAGACTCAAATTCATATAACAAAAGAAGCAGACAGTTATCAAATTAGATTAAACATATATCCCAGAATTGCAAAAGTTTTCACATTGTGTGTAGATAAACAGGAGACAGGAACACCTCTCTTACTTTGGTACTATATAGCATAGAACCAGCAGAGTTTTTTTGGTTTTGTTCTTTCTTTTCTTTCTACCTAAGAAACAAATATCTCAGAGTATGACATATGTAAGTATTTTTATGAGGAATTAAAAGGGGATTTGAAACAGTGAAACAACTGTTTATATGTTAAAAGGATACTAATTTGTGTTCCATGTTAGCTGCCAGACATTTTCTACCTGGTTACAAAGTCTTACGTTATCTGAATGGAACCATAAGAAACCAAAAACAAGAACCCAAAATTGGTGTGAGTGAGGGGAAATTAAACAATCATTTGCTGTAAAATCCTGCTCTATGTACAACACCAAAACAATTTTTACTGCAATGTCTTAAGGGATATAGGGGCCTGGTGCTGGCTCTTTGCACAGGTCCTTTGATCTCATTCTTAATTACAAGCAGCAACATACAAAATTCTCCTTTATACAACCAAGACCAGTTCTGATGGGTTTCATATGCAAGCAGCAAGATACGCTCAATGGTACACCTGGCAAATTAGAATATGTATTTTTAAGTAATTCTTGGTGCTTCTGGAAACAAGTGCATCATTTGCATAAACAATTTAATAGGCTTGGGTTAAATCTTAGTCAAATCAAAGTAAATCTATGAATTTAAAATGAGCTATTTTGATATTAGAGCAATGCAACTAGGAGAAGCATTTGAGCCTGATATTCCTCATTGCCCACTGCTTGTTATGTGTTCTGAAAGCCCAACTTGCAACAAGCTATAGTATTTACAGTATTGACTAGCTACCAGGATGACAGCGTGTATTCCTGGTCTTCTCTGCAGATACTTTTGCCTGCAGTCTCTTCATAATGCAAATGTTCTGAAACTGAATGTTTCCTTTAGCTGCACAGTTGCAGCTTCTAGACATGGATACTGTCACCTCAAGGTTACCTTACCTAGTTGGATTTCCCATGATGCTTTTGCTCCTCTGCTCCCTACTCATCCTCCCACTCTGTTCTACTTACTTTCCTCAGCATTTTTTGCTTTCTAGAAACTCCCTAAAAGTAGCCCTAACACTGCTCACTTTCTTCTTCCTTTTTGATAGGCAGGGAAAACTGTGGAAAGCAGGGAGGACTTAGCTAGAATGAATTGAACAAATGCCCGTAAACCATCCTGGTAGCAATGCTAGCAGACACGACTGATATCAGTAGATACGTTAGTAGCTGCCCCCTCATAATTAATTTTTTAAAGGGGCACTAAAGAAAGTAGGAAAGCAGTATAGGAATAGTGTATCATTAAACCAAGAATAGATGCAAAAATTCTCTATGTTCTGTGGCACTATAAAATATTTCTCTTTGGAGGGGGTGTGATTAGCTGCCTTACCTCAAAATCACCCCTTCAAGTATATAAGGTGTCAAGGAGCATGTCTATTTAATTTCTTTGATTGATGTAAGATTCTTTTTAATAGGGAGCCAGAACAACTCCCAACTGGAGGAGAGCACATTTTTGAAATTGCAGAAAATCAATGGGTTGAGTCCAAAAATCCACACAAGGACAAAAAATGTAATTAATCCACCTCAGAGGACACAGTGGCAGTTCCAAATTAAGATTTCATGGTCACAACTTTATGGGTAATGAGACATTTCCTTGTGAGGAAACTATACATAATACATCTGGGGCGGTCATAGGAAGGGAGGCTGGAAGTGTCATAATGGGTGTCATTTTTAGCTCAAGAACCGTGATAATACTAGCTCTATATTACTATGGTAAAAGCAACCTTTAGCTCTTCTACTGTTGAGAAATATGAAGGCATATTTAGCTATATTTAGCTTCTATTGTTGAGAAATATGAAGAAATATTCCAAAGGCAAGCAATATACAAAGGACAAGCAAAGCATTGTACAGAAAAAAGAACTGTTGTAATCCTTCTTCCAAAATCAAAAACAAACCTTTCGCTACAGCTACACCAGATATAAGACATTAAAAAGCACTATTAAAGAAGCTTCTCCAGACAGTTATGCTATCTACAATATAAAAAGGAAGCTCAAACTTTGCGTAACAAATTTGCTTAAAAAATGTCCAGACTAATTAGAATTTGGAGCAACTCAACCCCTGCCTCCCCCACACACACACCTATTGGCATTCTCTCCTCAGTAGGGTGAGAGTTACTTTCTATTGCAGACCTGAAATAAGGATTTACTGATTAGGCAGTCCTTTCAGGTAATATCATCAAGGGCAGATTGGACACTAAGTCACTGGCAATCTAATAGGAACCCAAGGAAAATCTTTTACTCAGGGCCAGTAACTGCAGATGAAAGGCAGTGTCCTACAAGAAACCCCTGCAGAGATTTCACAAATTATTTCTACCTACCACTCTAAACTGTCAGTCATTATTTTTAATCAAACCATTTCAAAAGCTAACACCAATACTGGGTTATACATCTCTTGCAAATGAAGGGAAAAGCTTCTTCCACTCACTGGTGAGGCCTCACCTGGAGCACTGTGTCCAGTTTTGGGCCCTGCACTTCAAAGAAAGATATGAACAGATTGGACAGAGTCTACGACAGAATAACAGAAATGATTGGAGGCAATAAAAAATTAACGGATGTGTTCCTGAGGACGGGAGCTCTGATCAGAAGATTGCTGCTCCTAACCTCTGGGTGTACGGGAGTCAAGAGCTCCCCCTGTATCGGCTATATGGCATGGTTGGATTTGATCCCCAATCCCACAATCACACCTCCTACCATGCACAAGTAGTGTGGTAAGAGGCGTGATTGTTATGATTGCCAATCAGATCCCACCACGTCTTTATTTAAATGTTTGCCAGGGGCCTGAGTGTGGTCAAGCACTGGAACAAGCTACCTAAAGAAGCTGTGGAATTGCAATTCTTGGAAATTTTCAGGAACAGGTTAGACTTGGCTATACATAGGGAAGTTCCTCCCTTGAACAGGGGGCGGACAAGATGACCTAATGAGATCCCTTCCAGCCTTACTCTCTTACAATTCTATGAACAAAATAAGATCAAAGGATTAGTAAATTTGCCTGCAAGGACTAGATATTTTTCCTGGAAGTTATCCTAGACTAGGCAGTGTTTCAGTGAGGTTTAACAAAACAAACAAAAGACAATTAATCATATAATTACCTCATTCTTTACAGCATAATCTGGGTACGCAATGCTTTGGGTGGTGGGTAGTGAAATATTGTCCAACAGAAATGTTAAATCCAGAAAACTGGATTTAAATTAAATGCATATTTTGCTGAAAATCATTTGCAGTCTGCCACAATATGCTGTCTCCTGGGAGCTGAAGGTCAATTGTTCTTCTTGTCCTCTGTCATCCAGACTTCCCATCTAGCCTTTAACTCGTATGATGCACTCTGATATCCTCTCCTCAATAAGAATTTAATGGGAGATGCAGTCAGATTAGGCATTCCAGTCTGAAAAAGGAAATGGGAACCTATGGGTGCGGATCATCTCTGAGGCACTAAGTTATTTCAGAACTGAACTTTTTTTTTTTTGGTAGAAACATGCCAATGTTATTTTTTTGGCTAAATTTTTCCTCTGGAAAAGCATTCATCTTGTAGCCAGTTTTATATCTCAGTAACATGCCCCTTGTTCTTGTTTCTGTGCTTGAGATGTATATAAACACTGCAAAATGTTCCACAACAATAGTTGGCAAATTTTTGGACCTCTGAGTGACAGTTTAAGGAATTCAACTCTTGGATAACCCTATAATGTGGCATTGGGAATGGAATAGTCAGCAGCATGAGACCTGGAGAATCAGTGTCTCTGGGAATTGTAGCTACTTCAAACTGTTTCCTGACTGAGTCTCTGTAGCATAAATACGATAAACTTACAAAGACTATGAAGTTTCATATTTATTGTTCAGCATATTAAGTGATCTCTAGCTGCAGCCAAAATATTAGTTACAAAGGTACTACAGGTGTGCTGAAGTTCAATAACTGAAGATTTAACATTCAGCATGAAGACCAGTGTCATGGACAGCCTACTAGAACCGGCATTATTTTTTACAGGTTTGAAATATTTTTAATGAAACAGTTTTCTATCAGAAAATATAATTTTGTCAAAACTTAAACATTTCATTGAAGTGTGTTCATTGATTAATTTTGAGGAAAACCTACATTCATATTTTTCAGCTTGCTCATGTTGATAATATTCAATATTATTACCAATTTCTTACTTTGATTTACTAACATTCAACTTTATTATTAAAATAGCAATTTCAAAGTTTTATCATTTTATAATGTTTCCTTTATGTCAAAACATTTTTCTTTCAATTTGTACTTCATGGAAATGTTTATCACTTCATTCCAGTTTGAAACAGAAACAAATTTTGAAATGCTGAAATTTTCTGCAGAATGAAACTAGCTCTAGGCTACTTTGCTGTAATTATTAATATTTGCACATGCAAAATACTCCTGCACTCCTATGACTTCCTGTGTTGCTTTACAGCTGTTTAAGAACAACCTCCATTAACTTTTCCCTATTTGTAGATTATTTTACTTACAGGCACTCACTTGCTCAGTTACCCCACAGTTCAAATCAGTTGGGCTTCCTTTCAGCTTCTGGACTACAGTTTTCTCACTGTCATATCTGGCTGTTTCTCAACCAAGGGCTTTGACATATGGGATTTGCTCCCTTTGATAATTCGCTAGGCCTCAGGGCACAATGTAAAACTTTTAACAGATTAGGCTGGAGTCCAAGTCTGGATGTAGGACATTAATATAAAACATCCATGTTACTAGAATGATAAGTTAACAAAAACTAATTTTTCATTATTGTAAATTGGACAGATGCTATAGTGATGGATGTCATGGAAATATTTAAGTAAGTGCACACAGTAAAGTATATAATTTAAAGATCTAGGCATATGCTGGACACATCCCCATTCAATTGCCTCTTGAATGTCATGTCTGTCTGTAATTTATGAATGACAGCCTTGCCAACTCTATGCACATGGAAAGGCAAGCAGAAGTGCCAGGTTTTTTCTATCTCATATGACCCTTATCAGGCAAAAACTAGGGCAGTATGTCACCTTAGAGACTAATTGGTTTAAAGAAGATTGAGCATTTATAGGCAACAACCTACTTGGTTAAGTGCTATGACACTTATTATTTTTAGTTCTCTCTAAAACTATAAAACATACATCCCTACTTTTGACAATACCGAGGGGAGGAAGGAAGAGGGGAAGATTTTTCTCCCCAGGTTTTGAATAGAGGAAAAATAAACAACATACTTTTCATTTAGTTCTCATATATTTTTGGAAAATACAAAGCAGATCATAGAGACAGATAAAAGGCCAGTTTTGCAGAGATGAGGATAGACTTTTGGAGGGTGGGAGGGGGGGGACGGGACTGAGGAAGAAATTTTGGAAGTTTCATTTTTTTTTCCTTTAGTGGAATTGGGTTATTTTCCTAGCAAAAATGTCAGGCCAGCAGTAAAGTGAGAGAATTTCTTTCCTGGACCAAATTAATACATGAGCAGGGAAATAGCAGTTTTTCATCACAGCTATGATGCTCATCTACCAAGAAGTAAGCCTAACTAAACAGAAGCAAACTTAAGATTTTGGCATCCCAGCAAAGCTATGATTCTAATCTAGGCTATCAATGTGCAGCTTGCCCAGTTTAGGTGAAAATAGCTTAGAGTAAGTGGTTCAAGGTAGACACTGATATCAAACACAAATAAGTTCTACTACTTCTGCAGTTTAGTGTTACGATAATAAATGTATAGATAGCTATAACCTAGGCTTCACATTGTTCAACAACAGAAACCAAACCTTTTAGCTCAGGGGTGCTCAACCTCCAGCCTGAGGGTCAAATCCAGCCTGTGGCATCATATCATCTGGCTCACCAGGCTGTCCAGAAAGTCTGAGTTAATAGCTGATTATGAATAAACAAATCTAATGAGAACTCTACCAACTCTGAACTCAAGCATGACTTCATAAGACAAAGACAAACAGCAAGTCAGTCCATATGCCTCGCAACTACACAGGCAAAGAATGTTCGAGAGGAAGCTGTGTCACAATTATCAAGGCAGCAGCTGCACTCACTTGCTTAAACAAGATGTGGTCATTGAAAATCTACAACTTAAAGGCCAAGCACCGAACCTTCAATGGAGAAGTTATTTCCATCTTAACACATAAAAATGAAAGCTGAAAATCAAATCAAACTGGCAAATGCAAAAGGAAAATACTAGGTATTGAATGAAATGGATACATTACACACAAGATATTCATTACACAGTACATACTCCTTATTTCTGAAGTTGTTTATAATGAACACATCTTGGATGAGTATTTAGAGTAAAGCCAGAGGATTTTCATCAGAATCTTTGCTGGAAGAAGTTGGAGGAACATGCAGACAGAACTGACCAACATAGTCTGTCTCTTGAACAGCACATACAAGAGGAAAACATACAGCCCTTAAAGCAAGAGGACATGTAAACAGTGGCCTATGAGATGGCAGGCCCTAGTTTTTGCCCTAATATAACATCTGATGGGACAGGAAGAAAAAAACCCTTGCATGAACCCTAGTATGAACACATTTATGCTTGCATTAAACTGATAGGCTAGGGACAGACATTACACTTAAACCGGCTGAAGTGATCAGAGACCAAGGCTGGCCTGTCCTGTCCTGCGGAACCTACGGCTACAAGGGGCCCTGCAAAGCCAGGTGGAGAGGCCATGGCCTCTCCCATGTTTGGTGGTGGCTGCTGCATTTGCGGTGTAGTTTGCCCACCTGTGGGTTCGATGTTTGTTTAACTGTTCTGTCTGCCACCCCTCCCCCCATGTCTAGTGTGCTTGTTCATTTACCGGTGTGAGTGTGTTGTGGGATGGGAAAGGGGGCCCCGCACAGGCTGATTTGCCCTGGGTCCCGCACCCTGCTACAGTTGTCTCTGCCATTGGATCAAAGGGTCCCAAAACTATATCTTGCAGAGGGTCCCAAAAAAATGTGGGCCGGTCCTGTCAGAAACTGGTTTCAACCTGTAACAGAACAGATGTTCAGTGCACATAAATCAGTGCTGAAACCAGTTTGAGATAAATCTGGCTGAATGTAGTATCAGACTTAACTGATTTGAGTCAAACTGGTTTATGCAATGTCTGTCTCAGACCCCTTGCCAGTTGAAGATAAATCAGACTCTCCAAGCATCCCAGCATGCTTTGTGGGCTGGATGGGGCTCTCTCTCCACAGCAGACCTAGTGCCTCCCCTCTGTTCCCTGGCCAGAGCTCTTGCAGAGACTTGCAGGCATCTGCCTGGCTTCCCTGAGCTAAGCAGGGATTATTCCCCCTGCCACACTCCTAACCTTATGCAGACACCTCAGCATTAACTAGCAGACCACATGCTGGCTACAGTCCGTTCTGCATAAGACAGCAAAGGCAGATAGGCTTTTTGGAGCTAATCAACAGGTAGCTTAATGTCCTTCCTTGGAAAAGCTGTTTAAGAAGAATGTGGCAGCACATCTGTGGGTGCTTGCCACTTTAAGGACTGGAGCAGGCAACCGGCAGTTGCCCAATTACGATGGCCATTTTAAAACTAAGGTCAGCCAGGCAGAGCTGTCAGTGTGTTGCTTTCAGCTGAGGGAGCAACATCACCCAGCTGAGCCGAGGCTCACAACATCCTGGAGGTAAGGGTAGGAGCTAGGGGGATGGCTTGGAGGCTCCTGGTACTTGGCAAGACCTAAAACTGCATCCTGCCAGGGAGGGGAGGCCTGGTGGGACTGCCAGTGGCATGGCAGCCCCACTCAAATACCAGGACCATTCACCTCCCTGGTGAAAGACGGGTCAGGGTGCCTCAATAACCCTTAGCCCCCACAACACTGTGGGTACAAGGACCAGGCATGGCTACAGCCACATGAGCCCTAGGGGTGTAAGACCCAAGCAGAAGGGCCAGGCATGGCTGTGGCCTCCTGAGCCCTCACAAGGGAATAAGATCCCAGAGGCCCCAGGGAGAGGATAGTTGAGTGACCCCAGGGAGGGGGGCTGTTGTGAGGCCCCAGAGAGGGGGCATTTATGTGGCCCTAGAGGGAAAGGGCAGTTGTGTGGCCCAGAGAGGGGCATTGCCCAGAGAGGGGCAAGAGCAGTAATGGCCCAAGTGAGAGGGGTGCGAGTGGCAGTTGATCGGAGGGTGGGCCAGCTGGCATGCCAGCCCCAGTGATGGATGCAAAAGCCGAGTGTGTGCCCTGACTGAGGCTGGGTGCTAAGCCAATTATGAGGCCTGGTGTCTGCCTCCAGAGGGGAGGCCAGGTGCTAGGCTGAGTGGGGCTCTGCCAGGGAGTCGGGGGTGAGCCCTGACCCCAGCAAACCCTCAGGCATGGGGAGGCCGCATGGTAGGCCAGTAGGGGGTGCTCCTGTGCTGAGCCACCTACCTCATTGCACCCGACCACCTTCCAGTCCTTAATTTATATAGAGAATATGAT